ATCAGAGCGAGGTAACATCGTCACAAATAAATTCAAGTTAATGAATATAGAAATCTAATCGGCTCATTATTAAATGCTGTCACCGGAATCGAAGGAGTATGCCTCAGAAACAGCGTCAGCATGAAAGTTCCAGTAAAGCCAATCGAAAGCTGGTCAAGAGGAATACGTCATCGTCTTCTGATGAAACCGACCTTCGAATCTCTTCACCAAACACCTACACTCGAAATGGAAGTAAGCACAACAATTATGAAACAAGATATTCCTCGAAACCCAACTTTCCTTCGCATATAATTTTCAGCGTTCAATCGTAGACTTGGTACATTCCCAAACGTCCACGATCCAAAACTGGAGCTTATGATGCATGTTCAAGGTGCGTCCAACTAGATCGCCCTGACAACAAGATCAATTTGCGAAAACGAGGTCAGACTACTAAGCCACTTGCATTTCGTCCGAAAGTATGTGATGACGAGATTAGCGAGCCGATCTCACTAGGAGAGGTTGGTGGTTGGCTTTACGCGGATCTTAAGAATGAAGCAGACCTGATCCAGTGAAAATATGCTAATATTGATGTAAAGACTTTCATTTCCTATGGAAATACATTATGAAGAGATTCGTAGATCAATCTCACCAGAAGACGTCGGCTAATTCGCGTCTTCTGGCGAGAATGACCTATGAATCTCTTTCTCATATATTTCCATGCAAAATGAAAGTCTTCACATTAATCTTATCTCAGGAGATTCTTCCAAACCCACATTTTTCTTCGCATATAAAACATGCTAAGTTCTCGTCTGTCATGCCACTTAACAGACACCATTCGGTTGTTGAGCCCACGCAATTTCGAGCAAAAGTGCATGCGATGGAGAGATTGGAAGATAGATCCAACCAGAAGACGACGGAGAATCCATCTTGGCCAGACGTCTGTCGTCTTTAACTGAAAGCTCTTGGAAATATTGTTTCCGAGGCAATCACCCTCGATTCCGATGAAAACATGCTCAGCTGTCGTTCTTCGCATGATCTGCATCATTCCGACAAACATGTTCAAGGTAACCAATCTAGAAAGTTCATATCTCCTCATTTAACCGCCTCAAGCAAAATGGAAGTGAGCTGAACAATTATAAATCAAGGGGCCACTCGAGACCCAACCATCATTCGCAGAGACATCACGAGAGCTGGAACGCATTCGTGCAGCCGCTTCCACGTTGCCCAGAGTCAAAAAACCCAACTGGAATGTCCATAATGGGTAGACATCTTTGTAAAATGTGACCCTCAGCGCTTTCATGTTCACGCAAACAAATACACACACACATGCAATTGAGAGTTAAACAAGGAGCTAAAAATGGTTACAACAAATCCATTTAAAAAGATCTGGACGGGTCGCGTAAAACAATGAAGGATTGACAGTTGAATTCTTCCACAATGGCACAGTAATGGCCTCTCTGAAGATATTCTCATCAAGCATGAACTGGGTCCCAGGGGTTCATCAGCACCTTCCGCTTCTAATACGCCCCACTTGCCGTTTGACCCACTGACAGTCGTGGAGTTGTGTTAGCATGTCAAAAGTATACATCGCTCTACTCGAGCCCAATGCCCGTTGGGAATATTGATGCGACCCAGGCTAGGTCGTAACTGCAACCAACCTGTAAGGGAGTACCGATTAGGAAATGCGGCTAGGTTAAGTTCAATTGTACCATGAAGTCTGTTCATTGTATTGTGGGAAAAACTCAATTATCAGTCCGTACATCAGCTTATGCGACCCGGGCTGATCAAGCTCATGAGATTCGTCTTTTACAACCACCACTTTGAACGGATGCCGAATACAAGTCGGGTTTTCCGACAATTGCCAAAGAGCATTAATTTTGGAATAAATGAGTGAATCGTCTATCATCTGTTTAGAAGAAATAAGATAGATTCCTGCCAGATCAATCTGGTCTTCGACAGAAATGCAACACTATTTCGTGAACACGATCTCCGAGGCTGGCACAGCACAGTCTTGGAGAAGAGCCGGACATGTCTGCGTCCAACTTAACTGGAATGCAAGTGAAAGATATTTCATCAAGACTAACATTATCCGTCCTGCGTTCTCGCGGCTTCCGGATTGCAAAAACTATTGGCCCAACGAAGCGTTAAGAAGTCTGGCAGAGCAATTCGCAAGACTACGTAAAGCCACGACTTTTGAAGACTCAAACGGGACGTTCACTTTATTTGCAAGTGTCGTTAAACTCGAATAATTGAACTACCAACATTCGCAGGTTGGCCCAAGTCGGAAAACATGCTCTCCTTACGAAATGCTTGGTCAGTATCCGTTGAGCTCATGCCTCACACAGGTCACTGAGCAGAATGCTTTAAATACCTTCAGGCAGTCTTTTCATACAGTAAAAAGTCTTTCTCATTGTATTTGAGACACAATTATCATATTACAAACTCAGACTTGATTGCATATAACGCCGGCAAATGGGAATACATTCAAATTTTTCGTTTCAAACGCTTTTAAAAACGCAAGTTTGAGAGATTTGTTCTGAATGAGTACAGATAAATCATGATGCTTTGCACATCACACAACCACTTTTATTTAAAATTCCTTATGAATTGTGGGCAGATCATGGTATAGAATCTCGCTTGAGCAACACATTCATTTTCCACTTCTCCCATCCTCCACTGTTCACACATTTCTGCGAAAAAACACTTAAATCTAGCCTTCAGACCGTCTGTTTGGTCATAAATTATAGTTCCATATAGAAGGTATTTGACCTTATTTTCGTAACTTGGTCATATTGAAAGGTGGACTTAGAGGAACGAACCTGTATACATGTTCATGTCCATAGTCGGAACGTGGAAGTGTAAATGTACCACGTGCGCACAATGGATCCTGGACAAGGTGCGTTCCTCTCAGTCTTCCTACCAATATGACCAAGTTGCGAAAACGAGGTCAAACAAGCTCTATACAACGAAAGGAGACTGCGACAACACAAAATTCTACACTATCTCGGTATTCATACCTTCGATTATAGTACCATATTTTTCTCCATCATATTCTACATTCTACATATTCAGTCACATCCATAACTACCACTGCTCCTTCTTTGTATGTCCTCAATACTAATAGGTCCTTTTCTATGAATTTCCTTGTGACAGAATTATTTTTCATATTATGCCACACACACACACTATATATATA